TAATAATAATAATAATAATAATAATAATAATAATAATAATAATAATAATAAAGTTGGAAGGGACCTTGGAGGTCATCGAGTCCAACCCCCTGCTCAGGCAGGAACCCTACACCATTTCAGACAAATGGCTGTCCAGTCTCTTCTTAAAAACTTCCAGTGTTGGAGCATTCACAACTTCTGGAGGCAGGTTGTTCCACTGATTAATTGTTCCAACTGTCAGGAAATTTCTCCTTAGTTCTAGGTTGCTTCTCTCCTTGATTAGTTTCCACCCATTGCTTCTCGTCCTGCCCTCAGGCGCCTTGGAGAATAGCTTGACTCCCTCTTCTTTGTGGCAGCCCCTGAGATATTGGAACACTGCTATCATGTCCCCCCTCATCCTTCTCTTCATTAAACATTAAGAGCTGCACACATCAACCTGCCTAATTTCACAAGGACACAGATCTGTTTTCCAAAGCCCTTTGTGAGCTACTAGTTTCAATCCTTGAGAATGACGTGAGAGAAAGAGAGAAGTGATTGTGAAGAAAATGAACAGTAGGTGATCCTATCTACCTACTTGCTATTTACAAATCACCCCCACCCGAAAGACACAGGAACCTATTAGAAACCAAAAAGGACATTGGTATGACATTACATTGACATGGCATCATTTTCCATTCTGTGCTTATGCTTGCAGATTATCTCCAGGGGATTAGGGGCCTTGACAATCCCAGTGATGGGGTAAACATAACTGAATTACAGCCACAGCAATTTATGGGGTTCACAGATTGTTAACTGCATTGCCAAAAGCCAACTTGGAACACAGCATCTCGAGCAAATGAACTTTATGCTAGTCAACAATTCATGTTCAATTAAAAAAAACTCCTCTCATTTGATGCAAGCATGAAGTCATTTTAAAAAGAAATCATAGCAAATTTCATCTTCATGACATCCCTAAACATTGAAATATTGTTTGAGTTCTTCTGTTTCCCAGTTTTTATTTAGAGTAGTGTTTAAATACAGAAATTAACAACAAAAATCATGTAAAGTGACAATTTAGTTTTTGACATCCTGCTTCCCAATTAAATAAAAAAAATCACAGATACTTCTGAATGAGTAAATTAAAACAGACTCCGTGTTCCAATTTTCTAGCATTTCTGCTTGAGTATTGATGACTTTCTTCATTTAAATGGAGACTCTAGAAGGTGCAGAAATCATGACATTGTATCAAAACCTGCATTCTTCCAGTCTATAATACAGCTAAATTCAGACTACTTCAGGGTAAATTTTCATAAAGAAGCAACGGGTGGAAACTAATCAAGGAGAGAAGCAACCTAGAACTAAGGAGAAACTTCCTGACAGTTAGAACAATTAACCAGTGGAACAACCTGCCTCCAGAAGCGGTGAATGCTCCAATACTGGAAGTTTTTAAGAAGAGACTGGACAGCCATTTGTCCGAAATGGTATAGGTTTTCCTGCCTGAGCAGGGGGTTGGACTAGATGACCTCCAAGATCCCTTACAACTTTACTACTATTATTATTATTATTATTATTATTATTATTATTATTATTATTATTATTATTATTATTATTATTATTATTATTATTATAAAATCTTATTATTTTTATTTGATTTAATTATTAAAGAGAGCCACCTGATCTCTGCACCTTCTAGAGCAGCAAAATTGAATACAGCAGTCTTGCATGGCGAGTCTGTGAAGCGTAAAGGTACAAATAATACTTACACAGAAAGAGAGCAAAGCCAATGTTGGACAGCATAGGCCTTTTCTAAATCATTGTTTGCAGAGAGCAACTCAAAGAACCCTGTGGCTATGAAAACTGTGGCAGGAAGTTTCAGTCAATGGTGCCAACAACACCTCTGCTTCCCCTCCCAAATGCTTTTCCTTGCCAAAAACTGTTGCCTTTATGTTATCTGTAATGAGTCAATTTCTTTGTTTTCATAGAGAATTCCGCTTCTGTCAGACTGTGGGAAATCAAGTCAGACTGTACATCATGGGCTTGAGAAGGAGAAACGATGCTACGTTGGGGAGGTCTATCAGTCTTCAATGAATGACTTATGAAAATAAGAGTTGTCAACAACATGAACCACAACAAAATGAGCCAAGGCACATTTTGCAATTTATATGGATGGAAGTTAAAATGTGTTCATCTTTAAAATCCCACACAATTCTTTCCTGTTTGGAATAAATTGACAAAGTCATCTTCTATATTCTAAATTCAGGATTTTAAAGCCACCCCTAACCCTTCAGCTGTTCCCTATATAAATTCTGCACTAAAAACTGATTTGCAGAAATTCCCTTATACGTGAGCAGATGTGATCTCTGGCAGGAAATGGCAATCTGGTCATTTTGAGTGAACGGGATTAGAGTTAAAAGGAACAAAAGGAGAATGCAATGTGAAGCAGATTGCTCCAGAATCAGAGACCTGGGATGAAGATTGTGTTGCTGGTGCCAGCTTGGTGCATGAGGGAAAATTGACTGTGACTTGAGACCCCCTGAGATGTGGGAATCAATTCAGATATTCCATGCCAGGAGACTGATAGAAAAAAATGGCTGCCAAATGTTGAAGGTTCCTCCCTCAAATTAAATCCAGGGAAAAGCAAGAACTTCTTGGTTACCATCCCATTGATCAGTCTCCCACTAGAAATTCAGATGGCTCCATCATTTCTGATCTTTAGAAAAATCTTTAAAAAATAACTGGTTCTAAAGAGCATGTATTTATGCTCTCTCTCTCTCTCTCTCTCTCTCTCTCTCTCTCTCTCTCTCTCTCTCTCTCTCAGTAAACCTATTACCATTGTTCTACCTGTTATAAAAATTTACAAAAGGTTTTGAAAGTTTAAAGGATTATTGTTTTGTGTTTTTTGTGTTATGATCAGTTTGTTTGTTTTATTGTGTGAACAAACCAACCAATGAAATTAAATCTATGGGAATTGATATAACATAGTCCTGATAGGTGCCAATCCATGAAATTTCTAAATATTGATCACAGGCAATTTTCTCACATTAAATGCTAATTAGTTAGGCCCACTGAATTAGGCTTGACACTTGAGGGCTGCTTCAACAAATTTTCATCATCTCAATCTAATACCAGCTACACTTCTGTAGCTCTTCCAATGAGAATAAGGTAATCTCTTTGAAACTATCTTCTATTTTATCTGCCATCTTCACTTCTATCTCTGTCAATCTTGTGAAGCAAAATTGTTTTTTTCTAGACCAGGGGTAGGCAACCTTGGCTGTTTTATGACTCCTGGATTTCAATTCCCAGAATTCCTGAGCCAGCCATGGCTGGCTCAGGAATTCTGGGAATTGAAGTCCACCAGTCATAAAACAGCCAAGGTTGCCTACCCCTGGTCTAGACCATCATTGGTTGCTTCACATGGTCAAAGCAGTGAAATGGGATGCTATTATGGTATATGGCCAGATCTGTTATTTCTAACTGGTACAACTATCTATAATGATGAATATGCACTTTTATTGATGGTGATGAAAAATTAGTGCATCTCCCTAGAGACACCCCAAAACAGGAAGTTTATATCCTAATTGATGACTGCTAGACATCTTAGCTAATGTTTCCATTTTTGCTGTAAATTACTAGCTAGAATTACTCGCAACAAGATACATATTTCTGTGAATGTCACTGTTTAACTTCTACTCAACTAATTCAGTTAAGAGGAGCTATGTGTTTCCTCTATTAATGAAAAGAGGATTTGTCTGGGGATTTACAAGAATGTAACAATTTCTTATGGAATTTTCTAGACTCCAACAGTGGTTTCACTTTTATTTTGTCTTTCCATCATCAATCCCCAAACTGCAATTCTAAATTTAGTGTGGGAAACTTATAGAATGGTATTTCTCAACCTTAGCCACTTTCAGATATGTGGACTTCAATACCCAGAATTCCTCAGCCTCCTCCCCAGCTAGATTCCCTAGTTGAAGTCCACATAATTGAAGTAAGCCAAGATTGAAAGACATTATTATAGACATAGACCTTATGTGACATTTCTGAGGCTTTGATATTGTTGTAGGACCCTTATTGACAGGTACTGTACTCCTTGACCTACGACAAGTCACTTAGTGACCATTCAAAGTTAATATGGACCCCCAGTTACAATGTTACAACCCAGTTCTGAAAGCTGACCCCAACATGGTCACGTGGCTGCATTTTGGATGCTTAGCAACTGGCCTGCAGCATCTTGCAGTCATGTGACCATGATTTACAACATTTTTAAACAAAACCTAGCATTTACTTCTGGTTTCTGGCAAACAAAAACTCCATGGTGAACAATGGGTTGGCTTAACGACTGGGCCATTTGCTTAATGACCACAGCATTCACTTAACGAATGCCTTCATTGCAAAAAAAAGTTACAAAATCCAAGCCGTCACAAGATGATCTGCTTTATGACTGTTGCAACTTGTGGTTATAAGTAGCAGGCTTATGAAAAGTTTGGTCTAGTGGTTAAGGCACAGAAAAGTTTGGTGTACTGGCTAAGGCACATTTTAAAGGAGAATGTATTTAGTGTTATCTTCTTTTGTTATTTAATTATATTTCTACTGTATTTTTGTTTTCTGTTCTTGCCGACAGCTTCTAAACATAAACATCAATATCTTTCATCCTATGAATGGGCAACTTTTAAATCATTTGAACATTTGTTGAACAGAGGAAGTATAAAAGTTGCAATAGCAACTTATGGCAAAATGTAGGTAACCTCTTGCTCCATGAGTGCTAATGATTTAAAATCTCATTTTTTTTACGGGTTAAGTAATTTTTTAAACTTGGAATAAAAAAACTCCCAACAATAGCTCTTATATGCATTACTGCACTTTCTCCAGAATGTGTTAAGTCTACCCTGCTGCAGTTGGGGTCCTTTTCTCCAAAATCTCATTGCTGACACCAGTGCTCCTCCCCCAGACCTACCAGTATCCACTATTTCAGACTTGAGAAATGAGAGGCAATCCTATTTAGATATTTTTAATGCTAACGTGTGAGGAACCAGAGCATATAGTCCAAACCAAACCAACAGATCATAGAACTAAATCTTGGTAAGCATCCATCTAAATCAAGTTGTGAAAGAAATCATCATTCACTTTAGTTCATGTCTTCAATTGTTGAAATAAAACTGTTTTGTAGCTTTTACAATGACAAAAATTTAAAAAATATTGTTTTTGAAAATGTAACTTTCACCACAAAAGTGCAGAGTTGAAAATTACAATTCCTTTCCCAATTTCTTGGAAGAAAACATCACTATTTTCAAATTACTAAAATAATTAAGATTATAATAATTTGTTTATAAACAACAAACATTTTAATACTGGTACACCAAATATTAAGTAATTTGCCAATATATTTAGGGATTCCAAATAATGTTGATAGATAACATTGCATAATGTTGAATGACCAACATAATGATCTATTATCCTTCTACTATCACTGAAATCTATCTATCTATCTATCTATCTATCTATCTATCTATCTATCTATCTATCTATCTATCTATCTATCTATCTATCTATCTATCTATCTAATCTATCATGTCTACCAATACCAATAAGAAATTCTGAGTTTATTTGTTTTTGAGTTTATGAGTTTTTGTTGCAAGCTAAATGGGCTGATTTAAGGTCTAAAAATCAAATAAAGATTGAATGTATCACAACTGCAAACCATACTTATCCTTTGCAATCTTTAAGTTGATGTACAGGAAGACTCGATCTGAAGGATCTCTCCAGTTAGAACAGTCTTTCTAATAAACATATTTATCGTGGCCAAGATCTGTTGATTCTGCCAGATATTTTGTACTGCACAAAAATAGTTGCTACTTTAATAGAGGGTATTTTTGAAATATGAGATCTCTCGGGACCAAATTCAAACCTGAAGGAAGCAGGCACTTATTTCAATTGACAGCCATTTCCACTGACAGTTGCACACACTATCAGAGATCAGACATTAGTGCTCAGGATTTATATCACATAGACCAAAGAATATACTTGCCAGACAAGAATAGGAATCATTAAGTCTGTGGTCCAAAGTGAGGCGCTGAAGCATCTCAAAAAGGGCAGCGTGGTCAAAATTACAGGGATTGGAAGAGATAAATTCATCCATGCCATGCTTTTGAGCTCTATCTGCATCTGTTCATTTATACACATAGAGAAAGACACAATTTAGAAAAAACATTGTGTTTGATGTACCAAAAATATAACATGAAGCATGAGAACTAAGTTGCTCTGTAGCATTTATTTGAATTTTAGGCTCACAAGCCTTAATTAGATTTATTCTTCAACTTCCATTGTCAACTTGCAACACTTATGGAATGGCTTATATTGCCAAAGGTACTAGAATCATAATATTATTTCCCAATTACTGGATTGCATTTACTTCATATTTTGACAAAATAACAATGAAAGTTATTAAATTTTCTGCTTCAAAAAAATAAAACAACTCTAATCAAAACGTATTGTCCATAAAACAATGTTGGGATTCCTTATATTCCACAAATTCCTACTTTTCATTTCAAAATAATGAGTAGAACCTGTTGTGGATCCATTCTGAGTCGGTCACCAGGACCAGAGGTTTAGTCTTCCGAGCTTTTGGACTTGTGCTGGATCTCATCCTCAGGGAACTTCTTTCTCACCAGAATGTGTGCTTTGGGCTATTCTGTGCATGGTATTTATATGGTGCCCAGTGGTGTGTGTGGCTTTAGTACAGGGGTCTTCAAACTTGGCAACTTTAAGACTTAGGGACTTCAACTCCCAGAATTCCTCAGGCAGCAGGGCTGGCTAAGGAATTCTGGGAGTTGAAGTCCACAAGTCTTAAAGTTGCCAAGTTTGAAGACCGCTGCTTTAGTAGAACCTGTCTTTCTAAGGAAAAGAAGATCATTATATTGTCTTAAATTTAATATATTTGACTAAACATGAACCCATTTCAGCTTTAGGGAATCAAATAGCACCTGTTAACTAAGTGCTAAATAGTTACCTGTTAATAACCCTAACCCAAGTTGCACTTTTCTTATTTTAGGCGTCAAGATTTACTTTTTTCTTGAAAAAAATTAAACAGCAAGGAAGGGCATTCCTCTATAAGTATGGAAGTGTAATGGCAGCGCATAGCTTATTTTTCAGTATGATTAACAATTGCAATGTATAAATGGAATGGTTGTAGAAGTTGAATACTAACTTCTGCTTCCTTTTTTGGAAGAAGAAAAATAGAACCAACATGGAACTGGGTGTGGTTTAAGCCTATTGGGTATCAAGTCAGGTATCACTTAATGGCACTTAGGAGTCTAAACTTTGGTTTATGGGGATTTCTGGGAGTTGAAGTCAATACATTTTAAAGTTGTGATATTGAGAAACACTGATCTAAATTATTACCCTATAAGAATTAATTTAAAAGAGTAAACAATTCAGGAGATAAGTGCAGACAGGAACGTGGTTTCAAAGAGATGTTCCAATCCTGATTCAAATGTTTTATTCAGTTACGAGGGAGGAGATCCAAAATTCCTGTTTCCCATTGACTCTGCTACTAGAGATCTTCTTGTTGTTGTTGTTTTAAAAATCCTTAATAAATAAAGGAGGAATTAAATCCCCACTTTTTAAAATCAGTCTTCTGGAGTCTTAAGAGCAGTAGACAAGGTGAAAAGCACCATGATACCTAGCATGAAGAACTAATGTTCCTTGGGAATGGCTTTCATCTCAAAAATCACAATAACATCAAAAATAAAATTCTGGATTTCAAAGAGCAAGTGGAGAGCTGATAGAGTTTTTAAACTAGAAATATTATCCATTTATGAGTTGCTTTGAGAATGCCTGTTTCACATACTGTATTAAAGATTTCAAAGAGCTTTTTAAAAGAGAAAGAAAATGAATAATCTTTATACTATATGACTTATGAAGTATCTAAACCTACCTGGCTTTCTAAAAGATCACAAATGCAAAGAACAAAACCTGAACTGCTAGAGTCAACAATAATATTTCTTTGATAATGAATCTTTTGTATTAAAACTTACGGCTGATCCTGTGCGTGATTAAAAGAAGTCACAGCTGAAAGGAATGGAACTTGTAATATTGTATGTCTTTTATTATACTATCGTTTCACTTTGTTCATTGCAAAGTATTTTGATCCAATAGATCTTTTTTTAAAAAAAAAATTATAGATTAATTCCTGGTTTCATATTTATAATATAAACTGAATATTTAACTGGATGCTGTCAATAGATTTTTATATAAGAGAGGAATGGATCCGCATGTAGGCATAGAATCTCCATGCATAGAAGCCCCAGTGACATCACATCTGTCATGATGTCATCGTCCAACTGTCATCATTTTGTCAGTTCTCACCACCCACCTCTGGATTCCCCTGTATTTGTACAATCTAAACACCAATAATGATAAGGAAAAAAATTCTTAAAATGTCTTCTTAGAATTTAGCCAGTGTGTGTGTGTGTGTGTGTGTGTGTGTGTGTGTGTGTGTATGTGTGTGTGTGTGTAGGATTTCAGCCTAAATTATCATGGCTTAATAGAATTGCAGAGCAGGCTGCAAATTTACTCTCCTTTCAAATGCAATCATTTCAGCATGATCCATTCTAACCTTGGGGTTCCAACTACCGTGCTCTCTTCAACAACCAATCAGATGGTTTCTATCTGTTTTGACAAATGATACCCTATCCCCCTTGTCCCTCTGGGACAACTTCAATTGAATTAATACAATGCTCTAATAAGAGCCTGTGCTGCTCCCCTACAATCTGTCTCCTTCCAAATTCAAGCCCTAAATACATAAAAAATAGCTTTATAGCTTTAATAAGCTGCATCAAGTTTTTTTATTATTTTTTAAATATATTTTGAAGTCTGTAGTGTTCAAATTTCCCTGAGAAGACTGCAAGCTGACAAATTGGCTGGAGGCCTTCTTTTGCCAGTTATGTTCAGATATATTTCATGACTTTTTCAATTATGAGACATGGTGTCTTGACAAGTCTGATTCCTTAATAAGGAAGTTGGAGTTAATGGGTTATGAATTTAAAGGGCTCCCTCCTTCTCCAAGTGGAAAGAATTATGACCTTAGAGTTATCACACTTCTTGAACTATGCTTTTCCTTATAATTATTCTGCCTTTTTTAGAACTCATTAAAAATAAATGAAGTGTTCGACATGTTTTTTTAAATAATAAAGAAAAAAAAGCATATACAAGACCCTTTATCACCACATATGGAATGGAGGGGTACATTTGGCTTCAAGTATATGTGGAGTCACATGATCTTTTTCCTTTTGGCAGTAAAAACAGGACTTAAGAATGGAATCAATGCAAGGAATGGCTCAATTTCTTCAAGTTAAAAAGACCCAGTCTTGTAATGCTTATGCATGTCAATTAATCTAGACAGTCATTTGTCTGAAGTGGTAATGATTCTCCTGCTTGAGCAGGGGGCTGGACTAGAAGACCTCCAAGGTCCCTTCCAGCTCCATTCCATCCCATTCTAATCCTTAACCCAGTGTTATTCTAGACTCACTGGTTCTGCCTTCCTTTAGAAGAGCCAAAGGATTACATACAAAATGGCTAATAAGCAAAGTTGAGACTGCCTGAAATAATTCTCTGCTGTTTCTATACTTTTTCACGTGTGTGTCTTGAAGACCAAGATCAGTGCCATCATGCCTTGGCTCTAGAAATGATCTTAACTGTCTTAAGGCCCCGATTTCAGGCAAAAACTAGACAAGCACCATGTTATGTGGCAACACAGCAGTGAGTTGATGCAGTCTAAATCAAAACTAAATAGCTTATACAGAGCAATGGATATGTGTGGATCATGGAAGCAACTTTCCTCAGCCTGCCGAATTGCAATAGATGTAATTCCCAGATTCCTGGCCATAACCCATAGTGCCATAGAAAAAGAAATTACAGTGTTTTGGAATATTTAGAATTTCTGTTGGACAATAAAATATTAATTAGCAACCTAAATGAAAAATGCTAATTCTTCTTGTCCCACCTTTAAATTTATTTATTTATTTATTTGTTTGTTTATTTATTTATATCCTGCCTTTATTATTTTTACAAATAACTCAAAGTGATTATCCAATACATCTTCCTAATATAAGTATAAATAATGAACATGTTGTTTCATGGTGTTTCTTTGGCTTACATTTGTAGCAAGTGGTGATTTGGATGGAATGGAATAAGAGCCTTTCACTCAAACATTTTTCTATCTAAGAAAAACAAGAAAAATATCTAATCCAGACCTCTGTCTCTTTTTACTCTTTATTCTGCTGCAATTTATATTACATGTGGAGCCAGCGATTTTAATATACTTCCTCACAGCTATTATTCAAATATATTCAGTAAAGTTTGAAAAATATTCTAACCAAATGTCAAAAAGAATTAGATCATTTTTGTCAATATAAAAATATATAAATAGATTATAGACATCTTAGATAATTACTGATCACATCAAATGTTTTGATTGTTCTAAAAAAAATCCTGAAATCATCTTTTTGACAGCATATATCAATGTATACTTCTACGGTCATTTATAAACTTTTCCATTGTGATTTTCTTATTTAAAACTCTTTAAAATCTATATGGCTTAAAGTTTTTTTTCTTTCTGTATTTACGGAAAATGTTTAAAGAAAAAATATATTCATTAGAATACTTTTTGTTTTATAATCTGAATGTATCTCTAGTCCAAATAATAGAAGAATGATGTTTTTCCATTACAACTTCTAATTATAGCTATAGATTTAGCTATTCACTCTGGCAGTATTCCTCTCTATAGTGATGCTGAGTTAGTTATGTGGAATTTCTGTTGCTAGAGCGAGAAAAAGAAAGAAAGGAAGGAAGGAAGGAAGGAAGAAGGAAAGAAAGAAAGGAAGGAAGGAAGGAAGGAAGGAAGGAAGGAAGGGAAGGAAGGAAGGAAGGAAGGAAGGAAGGAAGGAAGGAAGGAAGGAAGAAAATTCTATTTAGAATTTGTTTCAACAGGATCCAGATGGAAAGGCTCTGTAGCTTTACATTGCCAGCCAATGAAACATACCGATAAATGATCTGACTTGGTATAACACACAGAATATACAGAGTATCATTAATGATGCTTTGTGTACAAGTATGCAGCTGGAAAGCTAAACTGTTTTCAAGAAGATTCTTTAAAAAAGAATGAA